GGAGGGGAGCTCAGGGACTAGAAGGAGACAAAGTGAGGAGGGCACAGGGGGCCCAGAGGGCAGCTTGGGGGAGGTCTTAGATCTGAGGTCATGTACCTGAATCTAATGATGGAGAATGAAAAGCAGAAAAGGCAACATGATTGAGATGATGGAAAGAAGATTTTTGGCTAGAGGAGAGAACAAGTTATAGAATAGGCTGGCAAATATCCTAGGGAAAGTAGAATATTGTCTCCACGGTGATTCAGAATATGGACTCTGATGTCAGAATCTCTTGGCTCAAATCCTAATTCCCATGTGATCTTGGACAAATTCCTCAACTTTAGTGCATCAATTTCATCATGTGAGAATGCGGATGATAGAAGCCACATCAGAGGGTTACTGTGTAGGTTATGGGAGTGCCAAGCAGGTGATAGTACTCAATAGATATAAATGCCCGTTATTGTTTGTACTGAGATCAGAATTCTCCCACTATGTAATGCATAAAGGATTACAGTTTCCTCCTCAGTAAAATAAGCACACTAATCTTTGGCACTTGACTTCCTGGGAAATGGCGTGCTCATCCCTGCAACCCTCCAAAAGGCTCCTTGTTTCACTGTCCCAGATAGCTGAGACAGCAGTTGGCTGGAACTGATGTGCTATTCAGTGAGGGAAGCAGGAGCTGCTTACTGCCCTTCTCTCCCCTTTTGTTACTGGCCGGGGCTCAGTGACAAGTGACTGGGAGGCAGGGAAAGAAAAGAATGCTCCAAAGATGACCTGTTGCTCTCATCTCTTCCTGATCCATTTATGTCTGCGAGAAATATTTGCCCTTGGCTGCTTGCTGTTTCCCGCTCTGAGTCAGGGCTCTTCCTTTCTCTCATCATTTTCCACCCCTACCTTTTCCTATAATGGCAAAATGACTTCTCCAGCCGTGCAGCCAAGCTGAGTGACCTCACACGTCCGAGTGCAGGCAGATAGGTGTCTCTATCCTATTTTTGGAAACTTGTTGAAGTGGTGTCCTCTGATTTCTCTGACTGCTCTGTGGTCACCTTTCTTTGCCACAGACACATAGCAGCAGTCAATAGCAGAGAGGGGCAAGGTGAAAGAGTTACAAGTGGTCACAGTTATAATTCAGTTTTCATTTTCAGTTTTATGCTTTGCACTCTTTTTAGGGTACGTGGCTCCAGCAGAGTCCTCATACCCTCTCCCAGGACCCTTTTTGTTAAATAAGACAAAAACAACTCTCCTTTGTGGAAAAAAAGAAGTCTTTTGCTGACTTCAACTCTCTCCTCCCCTGTTCAATTTCCACTGACACTTGCTTTAGGGATTTGAAGCAGGGGTAACCAAAAGCAGCACTTTGAAGGTGAAGGTCATGTCATTGATGCCTCCTGTTTCCTCTTCTCTCCCCCAGCCTTCTTGTTGGTGGCATATCTCTTAATTTGTCTTTGGTCTTCTGTAGTGCTCAGGCCCTCATAATGGGTCCCCTCTGCAGTATTCAATGTCCCCTTTAGACCATCCATTCACACTAAAGTGAAAGATGACTGCTAAACCACTGAAATATTATCCCACTCAAGGATATTTTTCACTTCAAAAGCATCAAGGTGTAAAGTTCTGGTGGTGACGTTTCAGATATAATCCAAAAAAGGAAGCTGGGGAGTGGGTGAAAAATGATTTAAAAGCATGACAAATGGAGGATTTCTTTTGCTATTTAGGGATGAAATAGCAAAGACATTGCTTTTGAAATGAAAGAAGACATTGGGATAACTAGATAGGAGCCCAAATTATTTTTATTCCTAAAACATTAGCTTGAGTATCTAGCATACGTTGCTTCCTTTGTTGCCTCCTCTGTCAGCTTCCCCTGCACATGCTCTTGGAAGGGAGGGAATATAACAAATTGTGAAAATCACATGGGGTAAATGTTATTGCAGCTAACATTTTTCTTAGTTTTTAAAGTAGTGTAAAAGTTCTGTAAGCTCTTGTCTTTAATAAGCATTCTATAATGAAAAAGTTGGAAGCTAAAGCAATTGAGCCATTATCTGTATTATTTCCCCATTGCTATTTAAATTGTCCTAAGATTCAAATGAGACAATGTATGAGTCTGTTTTTCTAAAATGTAAAATTCTTTCAGTAATATGTGATTCAGAGTTGGCAGTGGTATCCTATACTAATAAAGAAATAGCAACATTCTAAAAAGTGTGAAGGTATGTTTCTGAGAGCAAAATAAAAGTTAGGTAATAAGAAATAGGATGATAGTTCATTCTCAGAGGGGTAGGGGATCAAGAAATGGAGGGAGGAGAGAGGGAGAGAAGGGATAAGGTATAAGAAAAGGAATTAAGATGTGTTATGTACATGTACCAACTTTCCACAAAGAATGTAAACATTATGTATTACACACATGTACTAATAAACTAAAATAATAATAATAATAAAAATAAATAAATAAATAAATAAATAAATAAATAAATAAATAAAATTTCCAAGCAGATTTCCAACACTAGGGTTTTCTAACCTTGAAGATTTAAAAGTAAGTTTCAGGCAAGAAAATGGAGAGCAAAGACAGACATTACTCCCTCCCAATGAAATACACCTAGTTTGCTTTATATGTTTTAATTTTCCCAACTTAATGATTCATGATGGAGAAAATGGTGAGAAGGAAAATTTTATTTGAATCAATATATTTCAAACTCCTTTTGCAAATGGAAAAAAATTGAAATTGCAGTGTGACTCCTCCTCTTAGTTCTGCATTCATTCCAATTTTTTTTCAGCTATTTGTTCATGTAGTCATTTTTTCAGAAAATATTGTTTGAACTCATTAAGCACTCAGCACCATTTCAGTATCCCAGGAAACATAGATGAAGTTACGTTTTTGAATTTCAAAGACTTAACTGTCTAATGGGGTTAATTGACAGGGTTAATTTTATAGTATGCTAAGTGATAATAGGGGTTTGTATAAGATTTGTAAGGTTTGTATAAGATTTTATACAAAGGCACAAAAAATGTACTTCGGGCAGAGTTTTGGAAACAGGTCGGAGTTATGAAGGGAAGCATTTCTGGCATGAGGCAGGGAAATGCAGAGCTGCAGGGAGTAGTGCCCAGTTTTCAAAAAGGCTACGGCAGAAGCATGAAAGGTGACAATGGACTGACAGTGAAGGCCTTGTATATGGCACTCAAGAGTTTGGATGATCATTCTAAGATTAACAAATTGACATACAATTGATAATTTTAAGCAAAGAAGTGATATGAGTTTTGATACCATCAGTTTTTTCTTAAAGAAAACAAGATTGGAGATCTTGAAAGCAGGCAGTGAGACTAGTTAGGAGGCATGGGCTAAGAGCCAGGCTGAAGATGGTGTTGGTGATGAGGGTAGTTAGGAAAGATTTACTCTGGCTTCTAGAAATTTCAATACTTGGTAGTTCAGCCCATGTTGCCTTTGGGCCCAAAGTTAGGTAGAAAATCATTATAGAAGCAAATGCCAGAGGAAGCTGCTTACATCACTGTGGCTAGGAAACAAAAAGTGGAGAGATAGGAAGGTGCGATGGTCCCAATATCCCTTTCAAGGGCCTGCAGCCAATGAGCTAACTCCGTCCCACGAGGCTCCTCCCCTTAAAGTTTCCACACCTTTCCAGTGCAGCAGGCAGCGAACCAAATCTTTAGCATGTGTGTCTTTGGAGGATATTTAAGATCCAAACCACAAGTGGTGTAGAGTGATTTTGGTAGAGAACCTTCCAATTAATTAATCCTAATTAAACTATATAATAAGGCATTGTTTTTGGAAAAAATAATAATAGAACTGACAAAAATCAAGGAATTCTTGACTCAAAGAACAAAGCTGCAGACACAGTAATAACTATTGGTGAAAGGGTGAAAAGTACAAACATTATTGAATATATTCATAGTATGCCAGTAGTCCACCGGAACTTCATTTTTTAAAAAAATTTCATTGGTTTTAAAAATTTCCTGGCCTGAACAGCTAGATTGGTTAGAAGAGTTATTATCAAATCTTTATCTTACTGAAATCATAGCAAACAATGAGCTCGAGAGGGTCTTGAGAGATCATTCAGGCCAGTCCTTTCATTACAGATTTCAAAATCCAGTCATAGAGTTTAAACATTTGCAAGGGATGACACACTTCAGAGATGGCAGTGCTGAAGTGGGAATCCCAATGCCTGGCTTATAGGGCAAGGGTCTTTTCACCACAGCCCAACGGCATCCCAAGAAAAGCATCTGAAAGTCTCTGGGCATAGTGGCACAGGTTTGTAATCCCAGCACCCTGGAGGCTGAGGCAGGAGGATTAGATCACTGTGAGTTCTAGGTGAGGCAATACAGTGAGTTCAAGCTCAGCCTAAACTACATAGCAAGACCCTGTCTCAGACAACAACAACAGTAACAATAAACAAACAGAAACTAACAAAAAGCATCAAAATAGTCAATGACTATTAAAAAGAATGAGTTTTAAAGTGCTTTGAAACTATAAGGCACATTTAAAAAGCCAAACACCTGTTTTCTTACTAGAGGTAGGTCATTTTCCCAGATTAACTAACCACAAGGAAATTTATGCCAATATCATCAACTACTCTTCATATATTTGCTTTCCAAAAATAATTTTGGACTTTAGTCTGGCTTCATGGTAGAGGTATCTAAACACATGTGATTTATATTGTTATTAATTTCATATTAAAAATTAGAAACAGAAATATCTTTATTTAGGATTAGCAAAGAGAGATTTTATAAAGAAAATGAAATATGATAGGTCTGTGAACTAGCTACGTCATACTGTTCATCAGATGATAGAAAAATTTTCGTGGAACCTCTTTAAGTGCTATAAAAACACAGAATTAAGTTACTAATCTCATAATTTTTAAAAATACATTCCCAAATAAGTGATAACTCATGTATTTACTATTTATTTTTAGTTTTTAATAAGTTAAAATTAATTCAAAACTGTTTTTATTGATTTGTTTCACATTTATTGTAATAAAAGCAATGAATAGGATAAAATATAATAAAAACAATGAACACATTTATGAGTTTTTAGAAAGTTTATTAAGTCTCCTTTTCTTCTACTTCCCCTTACCCCAAATAAAGGGGCTAACATGCTTGTATATTAAACTTTGATTTACTTTACTCAAAATGTGAATTTTGAAATACAATAATCCATGAAAAATCTCAATAAAATTCATTTGGAAAATAATCAATACTGTTTAGAAATAAGGGAATAATGTTTCATATATTAGAAGTGAAAAGGTTTAATTATATAACTATATATATATGTCTTAAAACTTGCCAATCACTATTTGAAAAGGTTGAAGCTTGTGATTTATTGAAATAGATATTTTATTAATCAAATACCTTTTGTTAATCAATACATACAAATATTTAAACAAACATTTTAAATATAAAGTACAACTATAAAGCTATGAGACTGATTGATCTTTTTAACTAACATAAAATCTATACAGCCAAGTCAGTAACAGTGCTTTAAGGTCATGATCTTGAGTCTTTTTCTAAAGATGCTGTAATGGCCTAAGGCAGTTTTGAAAGTCTCTTTTGTAATTACCTTCAAAAGAATATGAGTTTCATAATTTAATCATTCTCTTGATTTGTTCCCAATAGAATTTCTGTTCAATCATCCTTTTTATTCACCAACTTTAAGAAGTCTTATTAATCTTCAATGAATGAAGATCTATCACTTATGAGGCTATTCAAAGGAAAGTTATTTCATGTTCTGTTGCCAATTCTGAAATTTGCACATTTACACACTCTTAGGATATGTAAATCATAGTAACTACTCGCACTGTGGAACTTTTATATATGTCTATATCATTTTAGAATAAGGAGATTTGTAAAGTCATGGTAACTCATAACTTTAAAATAAGGCCCTACAGCCCCCAAATTATAGAATAACTTCATATATGTTACAAAATCCATATCCTTGTTAAAAGTTTGTAGTTGTTAGTTTTTAATTTATGTATATAGCTCAGTAGCATGGATCCCCCAAATTGACAACTTCTCTGTAAGTCTCTCTACCTGAATCATTGTAGTGGAAATTGTACTTAAGTGTCAGAAATAGCCTTTGTCATAAAATATTGTTAATTAGCACCAATATTACATGAAAGTAAAGGGAAACATTCATAGGAATGCAGAATATAGATTTAATTTTTAACCACAAGACAAAATGTCAATTAGATATGATTTAATATCACAGACAGATAAATATCAGTCATAAAGCTTTTCAGGATTTTGCTTCGAAAAGTCAGAAAGAAGAGCCCCATATACCAGTCTTTTACATTCCATCCCCACAGAAGCTATGTAAATGCTTTCATAATCAAGACAGTGCAATATTTTCATGAAGTTACTTTGTGGGAGATACATTTACTTATTCTATATATTAGTTCAACAGGATAACAAATATCATAAAATGCTTTAAAGCCATCCAATTAGAGCAATATTTATATTAAGTACAAAATATACAGTAAAAGGAAAAATCTTATTAAATAAGCCTTTATGTTAACAGTATATTTAAAGGGAATATATTTTCCTGAATCTTTTTGTGACATTTGATATTAGTAACATCACTGTATGCTTTTGTTACTGTAATCTAGGATGTTTGGATGTGATATCTCTAGGTATCCTCATGATTATGTCTGTAAAAATAATTTTAAAAGTATTACTCCCAGAATATAAGAAAATAAGAAATTCTACCTTTTAATGTAGTTGTGCACAAAACTATTATAGTGTTTTGAGAGAAGTGTCCCTTGATCACTATAAATTTATCAGTTGAGAATGTGTACTTTTTTTACTAAACCAAAAACTGCCTGTCTTTAAAAGTAAGTGTTGCTAAGCTACCAAATAATTCTGGTTATAAAATTCGATATGAAATCCTTGGCTATTGATTAGAAAAGCATTATTTGAAGTTTGCCAATAAACCTTTCTAAATATGGGTTCTCATCGCAATACTTTTCTTGGTTGGAACAGTTGAGAAATCAAGAGAACAGTAGTACTTGTTACAACAAACACATATTACAGTATCCAAATCTCCAGACCTGGGGTCTAAATGTTCATTCACGGCTCAGCTGCAGGCTGACAGAAGAGAAAATTCGTCCTACACTGGTACACAATGGGGCAATGACAACATCTGTCACACTCTGCCATATTGTCTGTACTGAAGGCAGAACCATTAGACAGGTCTTTATAAAAGGCATTATAATCCTGGAACAGAGGAAAGGGATGCATAAGGATTATTAACGTTACCACAGAAGACCACTTGTACATACATGAAAAGGTATAATGACTGAATTTACTTAAGCTTCATCGACCAATTCAAAACAAATGGACAATGACAAGAAACACAAAAGATATGCTGATGGAAAAATAAATGGCCATATGCATGATAAATACTAACATTCTTTCTGTTGGTGGAATGCTTTTGGAACCAGTAAAATAAAAATTAAACAATGTATTTACTACCTGATCTCTGCCCCTAAACATTTAAATTCAGTTTCTTGGTATATTTAGGTACACCTTATGATCACATTCATCACTGAGAATTTGTACCTGTACCTGACATCACTTGATTCTGATTTTTTCTCATTCCTCTGTCCTCCCTTCAACCTCTCCACCCCCTACATACATAATCTTTGTTTCCATTTTTTTCTTCTTAGTTTCAAATTTTTCTTTCCCTTCTTTCCTTTCCCCTATCTATCCCTAAACATTAATCTGTGTAACTCTTCACATTTCCCTGAGGTTCTATTTCCTGTTAACCTTTCCTGTTGCCTCATTCCATTTGTCAACCCCTGGACCAAGCTGGGTTGGTTGCTCCCTCTTTGTCCTTTTAAAATACTGAAACAACCTTCCTCAAATTTACCAAAAGTTATCATAAATACGTGCTTATATTTCTGTGTTTCCTTCTAGAACATAAGTCCTTTTAAGTTACCTTAAAATAAATAATTGGGTGGAAATAAATTTACCTTAAAGTAAATAATTGGGTGGAAATAAATTTAGCATTTTGTTAGGGTTTATGTGGTTAATTAAGCTTTATATGATTATGCTCTATATTATTAATTTTTCATAGTAATTACACACACTGAAATGTTCTGTGTGGGGTAGGTAAAGTAACAGTGCAAATAATGTTAACGCTCTTAGATGAGAAAAGCCAGTCTAATATCTTCAAATTATTTTTGTATGCCTTTTCTTACTTTAACTGTGTATTTTTATATTCCTCAGGCTGGTGAATTTTCTATGTAATCTTTTGAACAATGCTTGATATGGCAGTAGTGGTCTTTCAGTATAAAAGTGTTTGTGAATTCTTAGGCATCACTGGTGCTTTAATGGAATCTTTATTATTACCTGAGTGGACACAAGAGAGTGAAGTTGCTTTTCTTAATTTGCTATTAAAATGTGATTAAAATAAAGGCCTACTGCATTTAGCCCAAAGGGCAGAGAAGATCAGTAACTATCTGATTGATATATTTTTAGAATACTGAATTATTCACATTGCCTATCCAACCTGACTATTTTTATCTTGCATTTGTTCTAAGTGCTAAATATTTGAAGCAGTTTGTAAGAAAATTAATGATTGTGTGTTTCTGAGATAAACAACTGAATAGAAACCTGAGTGGTGGCAAGTTGCTGCTTTTAATGCCAGTATGTTTCTCATTTGCTATGTGTTCTTGAGAATATTGCTACAAATTAAAGTGAGAAGAGGAAAACTTACAGAAAAGGTTATTAAGGTTAATATTTATTATGCATCCCTGAAATGTCCAGATGGTGCTATCGGTATAATGAATAATAAATAGACATATCTTGAATTCAGAAAATATATGGTAAAATATACTCCATGATGGCAAAATAACCTCAAATCAATATATTACATAACTGAAGTTTAGATCAGAAAGTTTGCTAATTAAACTGCTTTGAGGGGCCAGGGATTTAGCTCAGTGGTTTCGCCCCCTGCTGTGCAAGAGCAAAGACCCGAGTTTGATCCCCGGTATCAAAAAAAACCAAACAAACAACTGCTTTGATTAGAATATAATATATTTCTACTCTTCCTTAAACTAAGAATTTTCTATTTCCATAACTCCTTAGCTCTTCATGTCCTAATAGGACTCAAGTACTTGTCAAAAGCTGATTTTCCAGTTCAGCAAAGTGCAGTTGCCCACATCTGAAGACTTAAGTTCAAAGGATGTGATTAACCCATTTAATTTTCTTTAAGTTGTTATTCTTTCATTTTGGAATAGAGAACCTAATAATCCTTGAACACCAAACTTAATTTGAGTTGTCAACATTGTAAGTAGTTTCTCTTCTGAAACTACACACATTCTGAAATGACCTAAAATTTGGTTGAGGGTTAATGTGACCAGCAAAACATTTCTTACATAAAATTTATAATCTATAAGATTATATATTTCTCTGTTGGACAATTTATCTTTGATGAGAGATTTTATTTAGCCATAGTGTCATGCAAATTGGGCTGTTGCAGGAGTTTACTGTACCGTAAACATCTTCTAGAGATGCGATTGCTACCATTGCATTTCCAACTTGGGCATATATTTGCATAGCATCCTAGTTTAAAAAAAATGATACAGATGTTCCAGTCACATTTCTTTGGCTATGATCCATTTATGTCCAATGACCTTATGTGCCAAATAGCAAAATGGTGGCTATCTGTATCTGAGTGCAGCATGGAATCAAACACACTCACTGGTCCTTAATGACTATACTGCTGGTCTAGAGTTCAATATCATTAAGCTTCTTTTTTTGTTTTTGTTGCTCTTTATTTCTTTAAAGAATATAAAATCAAGCTGTGCACAGTGGTTATATACCTGTAGATGCATAGTCTCAGCTACTCAGGAGACTGAGGCAGGAAGACTGCTTGAATCCTCAGAATTCAAAGCAAGCCTGGGCAAAATAGGGAGACTGCCTTGAAAAAAATCTAAAATCAGATATGGGGTGGCATTGTGACTTGTTTCAAAGTTCCACTGTTGCATAATTTCTGAACTTTGGTCACTATCAACTTCTTGGTAAAACATCAATTAATCCCTTCCTTAAAAATAAATAAACCAAACAGAAAAAGAAAGAAAGAGAAAGAAAGATATTTAAATGAATTTGCTCATCTATAAGGCCTCTCATTTGGTCTTATGTGTCATGGGAATGTAATCCATTAATGATTAATCTATTTCATCAAGGTATAAAATAACATTTAAGCTTTTTTGTTTGAAATTACTTTTGTACTCACAGTCACAGCTGCCTGATGACAAACAGATACAGTTAAATATTGATGTTCCACATGAAAGTAATTTGAAAAACAAACAAGTTAAGTAATACATTTTATATGGCTATGAAGGAAGTGGCTTGATGATTCACCAATGGAAGAACTACGCGAAGAAACATTCCCCATTCTAAGGAGAGCCAGGTGGAGAAAGGCCTCATTTGGTTAATTGTAGTATTACTTATACCTTTCCACCATTTAGTAAATGAAAAACTTTCTTATTTCCAATTCTTCCAAAAAATCTCTGGGAAGGCCTAGCTTTATTGACTATAAATATGGCATTCCATATTTCCAAATAGCCTCACAGCCAGATTTTCACATTATGGTATATGTCACTTATTTTTCTTTTTTTTTGTTGTTGTTGTTTACAAAGGCTTCATAATGTTCTTTTCACTTTTTGGGGAAGATAATAATAGAGGGGAAGAGTGAGTCATAGACGCAGAATATTTAATATCTGTACAACATTACCTTCATTCTGTAAATTTTCTACAGCACTCTATGTATGTCCCTTATTTTTCACATTTCAAAAGTTACAAAACTGACACAGAGGTTAAAATGCCTGGTTTTAGTTAATTAGGAATTCCACATTTTATGTACTGATTTAGGGATCTCTAAGAAATCCACATGCTTGGAAATGTCAGAACATGAGCTAACTATATATACACCTGGCTTTTGTGGGGCTGCACATGTATAAAGGCAAAATTTCCAATTCTCTGGCAATTTTTTGGTACTTGTAACACAACTGTTTATAACCTTCAGTGATTGAATCATAGACCTTTACTTATCTTTTATTAATCTGGTGAAATTTAATTATTCTTTAAAAGGCTTTTTAGATCTCTTTCCCTCACACAGCCTTCCTTGTCCTTCCTTCTTGCCTGTTAGAGCTAAATGTGTCTTTCCAGCACTCATGCCTGGGCCTGGGCAGCCAGCCTGACAGGCAGTGGGTAAGCTGAAAGAGCAGCCTATGTCAAGTAGCCAACATAAACTCAGCACGCAACAGATTTAGTTTGTGAGACTATCAGCTGGCTGACTAAAGAAATGACGGTAGCGGTGTTATGGAGGTGGAATGAAGAGCCATTTGGTAACAGTTAACAGTGTAAGCACTGAGCATCTCTTGGGGTAGAGTCAGGTCATCTAAGGGTTTAAGGAGGCACCTGCAGTTGTACATTTCACCAGGACCACCTTGATGCACCTGCTCGACAACTGTAGTGAAATAGGCGCGATTCTTCTTTTCAGAATAAAGTGGATATCCTTTAACACGACAACAAAAGTTCTTGGAATATAATGCTTCCCTTAAATTTTTTAATGTTTAAAAATGATCTAAAGTTTTATGATGCATTTTGAGTGTGACTAAAGTTACTTAAAACGTCTTATTAATGGCCACTGGATTTCCAAATTTCTTTTCCTTTTAACTGGATGCCACTTCCATTTGTGCGTTACAGTTGAAAAAATAACTTGATTCTTATTCAGTTTTCTGCACTTTTCCCTGGGCGGGGGGGGTGGGGGGGTGTTCCCGTCAATGTATACGCCTCTCATCTCCTAGGGCCCCATCCCTGCCACCTGTCAAGCAGCACTGGGGCTGCCCCTTCTGCACTGCTTAGCCAGGCCTGACCAGGACATCGCTGTGCAATTATATCGTCAGTGGCATTCTCCTCTGAGATCGCTTTTGTTTTGCCCCAAGCACAGGTGTGACTGAATAAAAGGCAGTGAAAGAAAGAAGAACCCTGGCCAGAACCACAGGCTCAAGTCCTAACAGGGCCCTGTGAGACAGCAGCCTGCTGCAGGAAGCGAGCTTCCAAGTCCCCACCTCCACACTCCGCTTGGCCTTTGGTCTGGGGAGGAAAATCACACATAGGAAAGAGGAGCGTTCTTCCTCCTGTTTAAACTCGCAGCCCAAACTGTTATTATTCTAAAGCGTGCACTATGCTTTCCAAGCCTTGCTTGCAGTTTTTGCCACTGCCTGAGAACTGAGTTTTCTTCCCTCTACAAACCGATCTGGAAGAAAGGAAGAGCAGGGAGAAGGTGGCAATAAACCCCCATCCCTACTTGTCAGAAAGCTGGCCCACCCCGAGTGCCCCTTCTCACCAGATGTGCAGGCAACTCAGAGTGGCAAAGAGAATTCCCGCGGCGAAGGCCAAGGGGACGGCCAGGAACACTGTCAGGAACTTGTAGATCACGTATTTGCTGATTTCGAAGAGCGCATGGCTGCAGATCCACACTTTGTCACAGGAGTGCGTGGTCACAGGCTCTGCGATCACATCCTCAAAGCCCAGCTGCCGAGACAAGACGCGGGGACCGAACTGTCACCCACCCCGGGGCTCGGGGAACCGGGAGCGAGGCGTGCGGCAGAGGCCAGGAGGAAGGACGAGGAGGCCAGGGCATCCCCACCTTTCCTTAGGGGCACAGTGCGTGCATAGCAATTTGCCTAGCAGAAGGGAATCCCGCAAGGTGCGGGGGAGTCGGGCGCCCGAGGGGCTGGGGGTTGGGGGCGGGACGGGGAGCCTCCCGCCCAGGTTCAAGGTCTCCCCGACTGCACCTTCAGATGCGAGTTGAGCTTGTGGGGATCTCGGTCCTGGCCCGAGTCCACGAACTTCTCCGGGTCGGAGTAGTCGACGCCGCTATGGTGGCTGTAGGCGTCGTCGTCCATGAAAAGCTGCACGTCCGCCTTCTCGGTCTCCAGCCCCATTGCGGCGCTCGGTGCGCGGCGGCTCCGGTCCCCCCCGGCCTCCCTTTCCGGAGCCCGGCCCCGCCCCGTCTGGTCCCGCGCACCCGGGCGGAGGCCGCTTCCCGCCGCTGCAGCCCGAGCCCCGCCCCGCCGCCCGGCCTGGGAACCCGGACGCCTCTCCCGCGGCCCGAGACACACCCTGCCCTGCCGGCCCCGGGGGAGCGGCCCGAGGCGAGGAGGAGCTCCTGGGAGTCAGACACCCGGACTGCGATGCCGAGGAGCTGACAGGTTGTCCCCGAACGTTGCCCGAGGTGGCTTCTAGTGTGAAGCGTGGAATCTCAAGGACAGCGTGCATCCTGGCCCAGCTGGGGCACCTGCCTCACAGAGTTATGGTGTGAGAATTAAATGCTGCATGAAAAACCATACACAAGCTTAAATATCCCATGGTTTCTCTTATACGAGAAACTCAAAGTATAAATAATTTAAAGAGCAAAAATCAAAGTAGATAATAGAGATAGGGAGATCTTTTGCGAATGGGAAGGGAGGACTCAAGAGATGGAAGTGGGGAGGGGAGGGAGAGGAGCAAGAGAAATAAAAGGATTACGATGTATTATGTCCATGTACCAACTCTTCGTGATGAGTGTGATTAGTATGTATTGCAAACATGCACTAATACAAATTTGAAATTTTTTTTAAAAAGAAAAATATGGCCAAAAGTATATCAAGAAAATATGGACCCCCCGCCCACAAAGAAAGAAAGAAAGAAAGAAAGAAAGAAAGAAAACTGTTAGAGGGTCCCTAAAGTAAGCTTCCATTGTTGCTGCCCCAATGTGAGATTATTAGGAAACCCCACAAGAGAACCAGCTCTTCAGCTATCAGGAGTTCTCAACTTCACACCCTGAAGGGAGATCTGCCCCCCACTTCCGAACTACAGCCACGTCTGTAATTACCTTGTGGGAACTACAGTCCATAAACAGAACCCTAGCATAGAACTGCAGCGTGGAACACACATCATCCTGTTGACCATTAACTCAAAGCTTTCAAAAGTGAGGAGTTTGCATGTTCAGAAAGGGATTATGGTCTGTTGAACTTAGATGTGTTTAGGGAGAACTTGGCGAAAATTTACGGAAAGCAAAATAATAGTCCTAGACTTGCGGGGCGGGTGGGATGGCTTCGATTTGCTCTCAGACCAAGATACAGTTGGCAAACAGTTAAGTGTTGCCAAATACCAGCTGCACACTTCATGGTCCCTTGTGTGAACTGGGATTTGAAGAATTAGTCTTTCTGAAGGAAAAAGACCATTTTTGAAATAATTATAAAAGAAAACAGGAGCTGAATGGGAAAAAATGCTTTAAAAAACAAACTCCAGGTTTCTTATAATTAAATCAAAAGTTTATCTACTGCTACTGTGTGTGCTACCAGGCCCGGTGCCTCTCCTCTTCCACACATGGTCTGGCTTGCCCATGCCATTTTTTTTCTTACTTTCTCAATTTTATTTATGTTCAATTAAATCCAAAATGGTGACTTAGACGTTCTACTGACTGACTTTTTTAGTACCTCCTTGCAGTGGTTAATTGATTAATTGTCAACTTGAGTGGGAATGCCCACCTAGCTGAATTGAATCGGCAAGGTTCTGGGAGTGGAAGACCCACTTTAAGGAGGATTGTTATGGGAATGGTATAAAAGAAGAAGGGAAGGGAAAGATTTCAGCTGATTTTTCTTAGAGGGGCTCTGGCTGTTCTCTTCGGAGGTGCTCTGGTCCTCATCAACCCTGGTCTTCACCTTCACCTTGAGCGTCGTCTTCTGGCTCTTAGGGCAGAGTCTTCAGCTCCCAGCAGGGCCTTTCAGCTTGGTTTGTCAGCTCATATTCTAGCTTCTAGCCCTAACTCTTCAACCTCCTGGTCTAGAATGCTTGCTTTCCACTGCTGATCCTTCAGCCTGGTTTGGCCTTGTGTGGGACATTGCTGTGGGCTCCAGGCGTCCTGTTGGATCCTTTGGATTTCTAGCACCCAACAGATCTTTTGCACTCTTCTGCATTTCACTCTGTGGGTGGCCGTTGTAGGCCAATCTTGCAAATTCCTGTGTCCTGCATTAAGTCTGATTCAGAGTATATACAATCATTTGAGGAGGCTTTCCCCCAGCCCTGCAAGGCCTTGTAAGCACTAATACACTTTTTACCTCTGTTCTCCTAAGCAGGCTGGCTCTTTGAGGATTGGAAGTTGTTACCCAACAACTGTTTCTCAAAGTGAATACAGGACAAGAATCCTTCAGTGAGTCCCTAATATTGGTTACCAGGAAAAAATAGTGTACAACCAAGTAACATTTTGTAAAATATAATTTTCCTCAAAACTATAATTCCGGATCTTAAGATGTTTTATCCAAAGAAGAAAGTCATTTCCATAGTTCAAGAGTGGGCCCAAACTGTCTGAAAGTCTGGCCTTAAGACTTCTTTCCTGCTAACTCTGTGTCCTTTATTCACATTTATGTTTCTTGTGGGATTACTAGGACATTTGCAAGAGTTATCCCAAATAATACTGTCATATTTCAACGTAGTTGACTCATTTTTCTGGCCAACAAGAAGTTGAAATTAATATGGCCTTAATAGGACAGTTAAGATTATAGATTCATTATTAAGATAATATTTATGAAAAGATGTCTCTAAAACTTGAGCTAAATGCAACCTATCTAGACTTGATTTATGAAGCCTAGAATTTAAGGATTCAATTCTTCATTCATTTGGAAGTTCTCGTCCCCTTCCCCATAGAGTGGATCTGTATAAAGCTCTTATTTTGATGAAACTCTTTCCTTTTTTGCCATTTTAATAAAGTTTTTTTTAGTGGAGCTATAAAAATGATTTTGCTTATCCTATTGGTAAATGTTTAGCTAATCGGAGCTATTGTTCTCAGGGTTAACCCCAGAGTGATTCCCACGGCAAATGGCGTCTTGTCCTTACTAACTTAATGGGAGATTTTTCAGGAAAGGGAAAATAGAGGAAGTGAGCTGGAATAGATGCCTGAACACACCATAATATCTTCCGGATCAGAGCACAACTTAATAAAAATATTGCCCTATAAATGAAGACGCTCAAAAATTTCATAATAAATCTAAGCTTGTGCAATCATCTTCTGGCTGTTATATATCACAACTTCTGACAGGACCGATTTTTAGATGGCATATTAATATGTTTGATGAATAGCAACTTGATAATATATTAAAATTTATGAGTAAGATAGCTTATAACCATTTTGTCCCTTGATTTCTCAGAATTGTGTCTAAGAAAAGTTATTTTTTGTAGTTTATCCAAGATTGTCTATAGATGCTCTTATGAATAAAATATCTACTTTTTGCTATTCAGTTTTCTCTCAAATAACAGATATTTTCCCAGTATACGTTACACATAGTTTTATTTAAAATCTGTGTTTCAAATTGTGTTCATGCAAATTTGTTCTTATTGGAAATGACAACTTCATAATTTTACCCTATGCTTTAATAATATTTAAAGTATTTGGGTTAGAGCAGGGTTTCTCAACCTCAATGCTATGGACATTTTGGACCACTTTGAGATCATTTTTTGTTGGGAGGTGCTGCCCAGTGCATTGTAGGATGTTTAGCAACATTCCTGGCTTCTCCTACTAAAACACTTTTCAGTGGTGACAACCAAAAATCTTTCCAGACATTGCCACATGTCTCTTGGGGGCCCAGATCACCCTTTACCTCCTTCCCTGGGGCTCAGAACCATTGGATAACACTATTGAAATAGTGCCACATGTATGGGAAAAATTATTTTCTGTCTGCATATTTACCAATTCATCTTAAGGCAAATTTCAAGATTAGAATACCAATTTGTCAGAAACTCCAGGACTTTTTGAAGTTAAATGTAAGGATATTTGTCTGCCTTACAAAATTTTCAGAATAACCAATTATTATTGACTATCAAATTTCAGAATGGTGCCGGTATTGACTGAGGGTGCTGTATACCCCATCAGGAGATCAAAAAGAAGCAACTGCCAAACTTGTCTACTTTATCAGGGCTCCTACACTTTCCTAACAAAGGTTAGGGTTGTTTAGATGATTGTATCTGGAAAACCATGGGTTTGGGACTTCTTGATTCATAAGATTCCATCTTAGAGCTATGTAAAATTTAGGGGGTTTTGGACGGACCTCAGGAACTGAACAGCTCTTCCACACTTCAAGTGACCTTAACTGAGGAAATTAAGAAATCCATTACTGAGGCAGAGCCAGGCAGCTGCTTGCTAGGGCCTTTATCTAGGACCTTCCTAGACTTGCTGTCAGCAAGGACAAAGCTTGAGAAATTTGGAGGCACCTGCTGTTCCCTTAGGAGCTATTCTCTCTGGGGCACAGTGGGCCTTGAGTTAACAATTCCTTACATAACTCCCCTTTTCTACTCCTTTATCATTGCACTTTTATCTCCACTTCACTTAGCCTTTACCATCCAACTGCAGTACTCCCCACTTCTGACCATGCACAGAACAATGCCCTGGCCCCTAAAGTTTAAAGGAACAGATAAAAAAGAAGTCTGCTACTAAAAGTTTTTCAATAATCAAGTTTGTAAAATAACATCAAATAGTTTTAAGGTATTTAATAAAAGTTTCTTCATTTTTTGTTGTATGCCTTTTCTTATTATCCCTATTCTGTGGAAAATAAGCCTTGCTCCAGTGAACCAGGAATGTCTAGTTTAATATTAAGGCACAGTAGCTTGTTTGTAATTGGTGCCAGCTTAATCTTCTGGCTGTTTCAAATAGCACCTCCTCTGGCCCAAAATCTCTCTTCATATACAAGAATTTCCAGAATCATTTTGGGTTTGGAAGTGCTTGGCTACTAGAAACAGAAGGGGAGAAAGGTACATTCTTGAAAATTAGTATTCATGATTAAAGTAGATAGAATAAATCATTGCATTCTCATTCAAAATAATGTATGACAATTAATTTTGGATTTATCTTATCCCACTTTACATAAATAAAGGTTATTTATGTTTAATCTTTTGAGTATTCTGTTGATTTCTAGGATACTGTATATATAAATAAGACAGCTGTGTAGATATCTTTCCAGATTATAATATAGGCAACCATTAGCTTTTGGTGAA